CAAAGAAATGTGTGTGTGCTCGCAGAGCCCTGTTTAAATCCAGAGAAGTGACTACAGAAAATGAGCCTGCCTCCTGCCAGTTACTCCCAGGGTGGGGACAGCAGGTGAGCACACAGAAGGGTTGTCCTGCCACATAAACCTGTTTCCTTTCATCCTAGCTCATTTCCATCATGTGATTGAGCAGCTGCGGTTCCGCCAGGGCAGCATGGCTAGCATCTTCCTCTCAGCAGGTATGAGGCGTCTCTCCGTTGGAACAACAAAAGCTGTGTATTGGAAAGGTTTTTTGTTGTGGACAGTTTTGAAAAATACGGCAGGCTCAAGTCTTTACTTGTCTATAGGTGACTTGGGGCCAGCCGCTCTCAACATAACCTACCTCGCAGGGCTGTTGTGAACATAAAACAGAGGAGAAGAGAACCACATACCCTGTGCTCATTTGGAGGAAGGGATGGGATAGGAATCTAATGAATGACAAACAATAGTAAGGTCTGAGGTAGCCATGTTCCTGATTTGCTAGTTTACAACATGTAGAGAGATGCAGTGGGGAATATGCCCCCATTCTACAGTCTGAAGTGGTACAGTCCAGAATTCTATTTCCTCATCTTGCATAACCTAGATGGCTCATCCTTCCTAAAGTTGTTTTTAATGCCACTTAAAACTAATTTAGAAAAAGTTTTGATTGTGATGGGTAGACATGAGCCAGCGTGGTGGTGTGTTGAATGTTAGCCCAGAGTATCCCCACTTGAATCCCTGCTAAGGCCACAGAACACTGACAGCCTAACCTACCTCACAGTATTGGTGTGAGTGGGAAAACAGGGATAATGCCAAGCAAGGGTTCCGCCCCAAGCTCCATGGAGGAAGCATGGAACATAGATGTGAGGAACGAATGGAATGGCGTGGTCTCTTCACCCGCTCCCCAGCCCAGCTTCTAACTCTGCTGTCTTTCCCTGCAGTGTTCCAGTTCTCCTACACAGCTGTGTTTGGAGCATACACAGCCTTCATCTTCATCAGGACAGGTTAGTGGGAGAGAGGATAGCTTTGCACTGATTGAGGGTGGGGGGAGCTCCCTCAGTTTCTTTCCAGGAGAGCAGTTGTGTGTGGAGGGCCTGGGCATTACAAGAGAGAGATGACAAAAAAATCCCTTAGCCCAGGTGTCCAACTGGAATAACTTCTTCTGTTTAATCACACGTTCTGTGCATAGATGCAAAATGTTACTGGTCCTGGGCAGTGTTCCCTCTAAGCTGAGTTAGTGTGAGCTAGCTCACAGTTTTTTAGCCTCCGGCTCACACATTTTTGTCTTCGCTCAGGAAGGACGGCTCCAAATCGCTCGCTCACAACTTTAATGTCAGGAGCTCACAAAGTAGAATTTTTGCTCACAAAACTCCAGAGCTTAGAGGGAACATTGGTCCTGGGGTGGGGGCAGAGGGAGAGGAAAGAAATAGCCCCTCATTTCTGTCCATGTGTGTTTTCCCCATAGTCATAAGGACTAGATTTTAAATTACAGTTTCAAAGTGTTCTGACCCTCCCTCCCTCCTTTCCACACAGGGCACCTTGTTGGGCCTGTCCTCTGCCATTCTTTCTGCAACTATGTTGGATTCCCTGCCGTGGGTGCAGCTCTGGAGCACCCACAACGCCTCCTGGTGGTGTTCTTCTATTTGTTGGGTGTGGTCCTCTTCCTTCTCCTCCTGCACCCCATGACGGATCCAGCCTTCTTTGGACACCTGCCCATCTGCTCCCTCTCCAGGTTGTCCTCTGCTGCCAACAGTATCAGCAGCCTATCCCTCTGTTCTTGACACCAGCAGAGACCCTTTCTCAGACTTCGCCCTTGCACACACACGGTAGCATATGGCTACACTGCAAACTTTTAAAAACGGGTTTTCAAACGGCTTTCTTGGCATAGCTGCCCGCTGCATGCTGGGAGCTTTAGTTGGGTGAGGGTGCCACGAAGCACTAGAGCCTGCCTCCCACGGCTCTGGTGGCTGGGTGATTCTGGGAGAAGCCATTGGTTAAGCCGGATTACAGTTGGCATGCAGCTGTGCCGGTGTTCTTGCACACCTCTCTGCCCTTGAGCCAGCCACCCCCTTTTTGTAGAACCCCGGGGGGCCTTTTCCTCCCAGCCCCGAAGAGCTCTATTTTTTATTATTAAAAGTACTTTAATGAGGCTGTCCTGTCCTTCCTTTGGTCAGCAGAGAGCAGTTTTCCTGTGGGGAGGGGCTGGTGTGGTGGCCAGAGCAGTCAGACCCTGAGCCTGGCAAGACACTCCAGCCAGTGGGTAGGCCAGCCATCCTCTTTCCACCTAAGCTGGCTCTCGGGGTTGCTAGGAGTACAAAACGGGGAGGCCCAATATATACCACACTGAGCAGCCTTTGAGGAAGGCAAGGGTGTAGAATTGTGCCTGTCCTAGCATGAGCTGAGACGTGTCTTTTGGGACCGTTGTGATGCCGGTATAGTGTAGCACAGTTTGTGGGGAACCTGCCTGTGTGGGCATAAGTCCTTGCAGAGGTCTTACTCCTAAGCAGCAGGGAACAAGTCTGCTTGAGGTCCTCCACCCCTGCTTTTTGATCTCCCTCACTGAACTAGATGTCCTGCAAAGCCGTCTGTGTCTAGGCCTTTATAAAAGTTCATCTCTCCTAAACCAGGGCAACTTTATCAGGTTGTGTGTGTGTGTGGGGGGGGGGGTGTTCAGGGAAAAGGGCACTCCCTAAAGTGCCTCTGCACTTTTCTGCAGACAGCTGCTGTCCCTTATAGAGCGCTCTATCTGTGCTGGACTTCCAGTGTGCCGCCTCCTTCTCCCCCTGGCGATGCTGCCCTCTTCTTCTGCTGCAGGCCTTCCTGTGAGCAATCCTGATGCTTATTCAGATGTCCAGAGACTCCCCTGGGCTAAGTTCTTCCAGGGGAGCAGCTGGACGCTGAGTGACTTTAGATGGTGTATCAGTGCCGGTTAAAAGGTGTGTGTGTGTGGGGGGGGGGGGTCGCCCGTTTCCTGAGTGGTCAAAGAAAAACAGCACCTCGGCATTGGGTGGGCCTCCAGTGTGTGCCATTTATTGGTACAGCATTCCTTCCCAGCCAGCAGCTCTCCCCTGCTTTCCCTGGCACCCTCCTCCTCCCTGGTCCCGTCTTCCAGGCCTAGCATTGATGGTGGCAGCTTCGTACCCAGTATGGCTCTCGTGGTCACTTAGGTGGCCCTCCTGGGGGACCGTAAGGAAGAACAACCGTTGATTCATCTGTTGGAGCGGCTGGGGCAGCCAGAAAAGAAGGGTGTGAAGAGGAGGAAAGGGAGAGCTCAGGCTGGGGGGGATGCACAACTAGCTCAGCAGCAAAGACCAGACATGGCAGCTTCTACAAAGGGAGTGAGGACGAGGACAGCTTCGTAGCCAAGACCACCCTGGATCCACCAGCCCCGGCTTGTGGGTGGAGACGGGGGACTCTAACCTCTTGCCCTGGTACTGGGCTAGATGCTGGGGGGGTACATAGTGCTTCCCTTGTGTCAGTCCCCAGTGGGGGGAGGGATTCATTCTGCTTCCACATGCCTTTTCTGGTGAGGGGGTGGGTTTGGGGGCAGCAGGCTGGGGAGGAAATCACAGGTCGCTCTCCCCATACAGGGCGCTGGAGAAGGAGACATAGTCCAAAGCGCCAGACACGGCATCGGCTCCCGCGTACTTTGTCATCCTGCTGATGCAGTATTCGGCCTGCTCTGGTGGCAGCTCCCGGCGCAGCTCTTCTATCGTGATGTAGTTCTGTGGGAGAAGAGGGGGAGGGGAATGGTGTCAGGAAGGTTGGAGAGGAGAACCTGTGGGCTCGGATCAGGGCCCTTCCTGGCAGTGCTGCTCGCGCACTTTCTAGCTCCCTGAAGGTAGGCTTGAAACTCAAGAAAATGGAAATCTGTAGGGAGCAAAACTGAGTTTGCCTTTCAGAGATTCCATGCTCGGTGCAATCTCCGCAGTGCTTTTCCTTCTCATGAGCCCAAGAGACCTCCTCTACGCCTCCTTGCAGTTGTCCTCTGTGGCCTGTACTCACCTTGTCTGAAGCCAGGATCTTGAAGGAGGCCATGACTTGCTCTGCAGTGTCTGTCTCAGCTGTCTCACGAGTCATGAAGTCAATGAAGGCCTGGAAGGTCACCACGCCTGTGTTGTTGGGGTCCACCAGGGTCATGATACGAGCAAACTCCACCTCACCCTAGGGAATAACGGGAATTCGGGTCGATATGGAGAAGACTGGGGGTTGAGTCACCCCCAGAGGACATTCTGATGACCCATACCAGAGCCACCCTAGAGCTCCAGAATGGAGTCCCATAGCAGTCTTGTCCCCCACCCACTACAGTTCTGCTAACATGTAAATCTGTAGTAGGTTGTGGGCAGCCCATCAGCCAAAGCAGGCCCACTCCTCACAGAAGACCAAGGGACTATGCTGACTCCTAATCCCATAAGAATGAAGAAAACTCCTGAGACACCCACAAGTGATCCTTCTCCTGCAAGATTCCTCTATCCAGCAGACTTAGGTAGTGTGTATGAGGGGGTGGCATTCAGGTGTGAGTACCCTTGTCATGGCGCATTGCCAGAAGGGACTTGACTCATGCTTCTTTTCTCTAGAGAACCAGCCCATCAGTTAACTTAGTTAACAGTTAACAGCTACGCCTACTGTTCCCAAGCACGTTCTGTTGTGTGTGGGACAGAAGCAGTTCCTTGTATATGAGAGGAAAGCTATCCCCGTTCAGTCCAAGCCAGGTGGCATCATACCAGGTCATATCCCATGGAGATCAAGCAGGCACGGAAGTCGTCTGGGTCCATCATGCCATTCCGCTTCTGCATGGGTACAAGGCAGCAGGAACCAGGTGGAAAGAGGGGAATGTTAGGTGGAAAGCACAAACCCCAGTCCCAAACATATCCCTGAAGGAGGGATTTACCTAAACCAACAGAGCATCGCTTATTTCCAGAGACAAATTCTCTGGCACCATATTGTCATTGCCCTCACTCTGTTATTGGCCTCCATTCAGCAAAGTGAAGAAATTTTCATGGCTTCTTCAGTCAAATGGTCGCTGAAGGATACCCAGAATAGTGGGAAGCAAGTGGGCAGGCTCAGAACTGGAACAGGAACTAGTGAGCCAACCAAGCAGATTTCTCCTCTTTTTTTTCTGGTACAAGAAGTCATGCCCAGTCAAACCTGTTCTCGGCTACCGTCAAGTGCTCTCTGAAGCAAGCGACAAGTGACTATTCAGAGCTGGATTCAAGACCAGTGGCACCTTAAGAGACCACCAAGATTCTCAGGGTATAAGCTTTCAAGAGTCAAAGCTCCCTTCATCAGATAGTGAATATACAGAACAAGGAACAGGCTTAAGGCTGCATTACAGCGGCGCAACTCCGATAATCAAAGAAACCATTTGCACTGAAGATGGAGGAGGCGTTTTCTGAGTCTGCATCCTTACAACCTGGTTGCATTTGAAAGGGGGCGGGGGACAGAGAGGATAAGAATCAGCAGGGCAAGGGCACCTCACCCGGTCAAAGTGGTTGAAGGAAGCCCGGAACTCATTCATCTGTTCTTGACTGATGCCCTTGGCATCACGTGTCAGGATCTGGTTCTCAACTTCATTGATAGTGCGTGCAATCGTTGTCAGCAGCTGCTCCCATCCCACCCGGATGTGCTGAGGTAACAAGAGTGGGCATTGGTGAACAAGACTGAGCAGCAACGGAAGTTACAGTTATGCCCCTATCCATATGCAAGAAGACAGCCTGTGTGGGATTCACCCAAGGCTGAGTTTTGGCAATGGTTCCGCTTCGCAGCACATGTATGCTCTTTCAGCCTTACCTCCATGGTGTAGCTTGTGTGCTTGTTATCGAAGATGAGGGCCTCCTGGATGAGCTGGTGGTCACCTTCCAGCTTGTCGATGTTTGTCTTGTAGTTAATGATGTTCTGCTCATGCTGTTTCAAGTGGTTCATCTGGTCCTCAAGGGACCCACTGATATCCACAGAGATGTGGCCAATCTCCTGCAAAGACAGGAAAGAGAAGAAGCCATTGTGTTAGCAATGGGTTTTTAAGATCCTGGATCCTGGCACTAACCGCTTGGGATGCCTTCCTCTACAGTCATGGGATGCCACAGGTAAGATTTAACAAGGAACTCCTTCCTTGTTTGTCCTGGGACAGGAAGCCTTTTCTAAAATATTTGTCAGTATTTAGGTGGGGTGAAAAGAAAAGAAAAACACCTCTTTGCATACAGAATTGCAAGGCAAAGAATTAAATAGGCAAGTGAGGTTCTCCCTGAGGCCTGAGATAAGTCTGAGGTCACTGGAGTTGGACGTCTGCCCTCTGGGCTGGGCTCATGTTGCCTGTCCATTCTATTCCTACCCACCTCCTACTACCCACCTTTTAATTAAGCTACTGCTTATTACTGGTTAGCGCAATTACTGGCTAGTGCTACTGCTATTGTTTTGATTGTTTTATTAGTACAGTTTCGACTGTGTATCTTGCTTATCTGCCATCTTAGAAGCTATAACTTAAAGGCTATGTCAACATAAATAAACAGTCTCCCCATTAGACAGACCCAAGTAGTCTTGGGTCCCTGGAATCTGGCCCATCCCCAACGGTGTTGGCAGTGCTGCTGCTCTTTTGTATTGGTTTGGATGAGACCTTACCTCCATCTTTGTCTGGATCCAGGGACCGATGATGTTGGCCTGGGCAGCAAACTGGCGTCTCAGGCGTTCGTTCGCTTGCTGCCTTGCCAGCTCTTCCTGCAGGGTCTGATCACGGTGTGGGACCAGTTGCTTCACCTACAGGGAGCATGAGAAGCACAAGGCTTTTAGGCTCAGACTATAACTGGTGTGCAGTGGGGCTGGGACACAGTCTTGGAGGAGTGAAAGAAGAGTCCTCTGCAAAGCTTGTGTCCACCGAAGAGCAAAGCTCGCCCTTCTTAAGAAAACATATAAAAGAACTATGGGACCTCAGGGCCTATCTGCCTCTTCAGTTATTCTTAGACACTCATCCCTTCAGTCACCAACTGCCTTAAGACCAAGGGGTTAATCAGGAGGGGGTGAAACAGCATCAATAACCACTGGTCAGGACCTCTCCTGATAAACAGGCGGGCAGAGGTGTCTTGCCAGAGGGACAGTATTCACATTTCTTATTAGAAGGAGGTGACCAGACTACAGTTCTCTCTTAGATTTATCCTGCTCTTCTCCTCTAGAGTTCAGGCCAGTATACATGGTTCTCCCTTTCCCTTTTGATCGTTGTAACAACCCCGTGAGGTAGGTCTGGCTGCAAGACAGCGGCTGGCCCAAGGTCCTCAGCAAGATACGTGGCAGAATGGGGACTTGATCCTGGGTCTCCCAGATCCAAGCTTGCATCACGCTGGCTGTAACCTCCTGGTTAAAGGAAAGTGTCATGTTCCTTCTCTGGCCTGGAGCTCCCATGAAGTTGCCTGCCTTATCCATTGACAGGGAGCACAAGTAACTGGGAGTGAAGACTGAAAAGAATAGCCGAAAACTAATCCCTTGTGGATGATACAAGGCTGCTACAGGGTGCAGCTGAAAACATGGCAGCCATGTTACCCACATGCACTATATTAATGCCACTCTCACCGTGTCCCACTTGTTGGCGACGTCAAGGTGACTAAGGTTGGTGTAGGGGTTCACCCCCGATAGCTTGATGCCATAGGTCTGGGCAATCTTCTGGATCTCG